TCAGGCTAGGATTCAGAATTTCAAGTTAGTTTTCAAAAAAATAAAATAATTACTATGGCTAATAGTCCAGCCAGCTGCCTGAAGTGAAGAAAATGCTGACTTTCTAAGTTTCCAGCCACAAGACAGCATCTTTGTTTGCTGTAGAAAAATATGAGAGGAACTACAAAATCTTTTCCTCGTAATTTTGAAGGGCCGTTTTGTAGTTGTTTGGTTTTGACCCGGGGCTGTTTTTTATCATCCATTTTCTACTCAACTAAATAAACTGAGGCCAAACCAGTTGTCACTGAGTTGATTGTGGCTCCTTGGGGCCCCTGTGTGTCAGAGTAGAACTGGGCTCCCTGAATGTTCAGTGGTTGTGAGTGACCTTTCAAAGAAGATTACCACGACTTCTTTCCATGACACCTCTGGGGAGACTCAAACCATCAACTTTTGGGCTAGAAGCTGAGCACATTAGCTACTGTACCACAAAACTCCCAAATCCACTGCTATCTAGTTGATTGTGACTCATATCAACTGTGTATAGGGTTTCTGAGGCTCTGAGTCTTTATAGGAGCAGAATGCCTCGTCTTCCTCCCAGGGAGCAGCTGGTGGGTTTGCTAACCACAGTGCTTACTCTACAGTGCCACTAGAGCTCACCTCTAAATAGAAGGGAGTGGTTTTTCAGGAAAAAAGAAAAAAGTTATGTCAAAACACACTAAAATATATACCACCTTTTGATTAGTCCTTAGAATGTTCTGGAGAGAGATCTGCCAATCTTGGACCCTTGCCATTTAGACTATCAACTGATCACATGGATTTCCCCCAATGGGGACCAACACAATTGTCGAAGGGGCTGTGGTCTGTCATGTGTCACCAGGCCAGATTGTTATTGGAGAGCTATGCAAAACAATCAAACTTCCTTGCAATCTAAAATATTATTGGAGGACACACACACACACACACACACACACACTGCTGGAACCAAAATAACCACGGAACAGAAAACAAGAGGATCCTGAAATTTCAGGATGAACTGAGTAAGTTAAAAATTGGATTAAAAAAAGAGAATGTTTTCTGAATTTCATCATCAGTTCAAAAACTTTCTGCATGTTTAGACATCTAAAAAGGTTCAAGAAAAAGCAGTCTGATGACATCAAAATTTAACATGGAAAGACAGGATGTAAAGTCATTATGGGTGAATTAGGAGAGGTTTTAAAATCTTTTCCTTTGAATCATTTTAATTATTTTGTAAAAACACCATATTTTCAAAATGTTGACAATTTGAAAAACAGAGCAAAGTCAAGAGGGAGCAAAAACATTACCCCTTATCCTACCTCCAAAGAACCAACATTATGTTTTTACCTATTTCTTCCTACACCTGAGTCTTTATCCTCCATACGTATGCTGTTGTTGGGTGGCATTAAATCGGTGTCAGTTCACAGCAACGCTGTGTAGGGTTTCCAAGACTGGGACATTTCAATCACCAACCTTGTGGTTAACAGTCCAGTGTTCATCCTAGAGCACCACCCCAGAACTCCCCCAGAAGTATCACCAATAAAATGTTTTGCTTTTTTCCCCACTGAATATACTATGGAAACATCCTGTGATCACTTCTTCTGTTCATTATTTTTAGTGTCTGCATAATATTCCATTGAGTAAAAGCAATATCTATTTTATAATCATTGTACTGTTGAGCTCTGGACTACTGACTACACTAACTGCAAGACTGGCCATTGAAAACCCACCAGACGCTCTCGGAAACCCTCTACAGGGTCACTATGACTTGGAACTAACTTGACAGCACTTAACGACAATAACAAATTATTGAATAGTATTTCTTTCTTTCTCTCTCTTTTTTATTTACTAAATTTGAAAGATGCAATACCGTTACAGGAATAAAATTCTCAGGTTTTAGATTAAAACAGTGGTGCTGCTGGGCTCCTTCAGAGAGGTAACGGTCACTTGTCTCACTCGGTCACCAACTGTGAGGAGGAGTTTCCCAGTCAGTGGAATTAAAGAAAGAAAGAAGTGATAACAACTGGCCCCCTGAACAACCATTCCCCAGGAAACCTCAGGGGTCTGCTGTATAAGACTGTGACCCCCAGGGTAATGCAGTGCACAACCTATACAACTGTACATAATGGCCTAAGCTCCTGATTTCCTCCAGCAGCTGAGTACCTACACACTCCCACCCTCCCTCAACATGTCTCAGGCCCCCTAGTTCTTCCACCAAAACCTACTCCTACATAAGACTGTTGGTGGGCATGTAAGCTGCTCTAGCCACCCTAGAAGGTAAGTTGGCAGTAATTACCAAAACACGGAGAAAACATCAGTCCCACTTCTAGTAATGAGTGTTAACATCAAACACAAGTACTGACACATCTGAGCAAGGATCTTTTCTACAACATAGCTCATAACAGGAAAGAAAACTCAAATGTGCTGCCAACTGTGGTTAAATAAGTTAGGATTCTGTGTGGGCATAGAAAGGAAATCATAGCTCCATCAATATGTTTGAGGTAGGTCTTTTTATACTGACAAAGAAAGATATTCCCAGTCTATTATGAAGGGAGTTCCAACTTGCAGTGACCCTGTATAGGGCTTCTGAGGAGCGGCTGGTGAGTTTGAACCGCCAACCTTGTGCTTATACTACAGTGCCACACCAGGACTCCTTGAAGGGAAGAGGGCAGGTTAAAAAAAAATAGAATAGGCAAATATATTGAGACCAAAGTCAACGAGAGGTTACTAAGGGGTGGAGGGAGAAAGGACTGAGATACTGAGGTTCTGTTTGGGGCAATGGAAAAAGTGTTGGAGATAAGCCAGCGGTGATGTTTGCACAACAAGGTGAATGTAATCAACGCCACCGCATTGTACACTTGAAAAGGTTTAAACAGCACATTTTGTTATATATATTATAACAAAAACAGTTCATAAAAAGGAACCCACCCTTTGATCTTATTGCACCAGGCAAATCTGCACAAGACTACATTAAAGTATTCAAGGGCAAGGATACCAGTTTGAGGATTAAGGTGCACCTGATTCAAGCTATGGTATTTTCAATTGCCTCAAATGTGATTTTGGACAATGAATAAGGAAGACCGTAGAAGAATTGATGCATTTGAGTGACGGTGTTGGAGGAGAACACTGAAATTACCAGGGACTGCCAGAACACACAGATTGGAGGAGGTGCAGCTGGAGTGCTCCTTAGAAGCCAGGATGGCGAGACTTTTTCTCTCATACTTCAGACATGTTATCAGGAGGGACCAGTTCCTGGACAAGAGCATTGTGCTAGGTAAAGTAGAGGGTCAACAAAAGAGAGGAAGACCCCCAAAGAGACGGCTTGGCACAGTGACAGCAGCAATGGACTCAAGTGTAACAACTGTGTGGATGGTGCAGGGCTGGGCAATGTTTTCATTCTGTTGTGTACAGGAGCACTATGAATCGAAAGCATCTCGACAGCACCTGATGCTATAACCACCTTTTGATCCAGAAATCCATTTCTAGGAAGTCCTCCTACATGAACAACCAGACATGTCTACAGAAATGGCTGCATGATCAATGGGCTGCAGAATGGGTTACAATAGTGAAAAATTGGAAATAAAATGTCCCAAATAGAAAGTGTTTTGAAAACACCCAGAGGCAGAGGGATACATTATGGGATGGCAATCAGTGAGATGTAGCAAAATGTGTATGAACTGTTGAAAGGAAAACAGACATGCACTATAAATCTGTAAACTTTCACCTAGTTTAAAATAAAAAGCTAAAAAAAACCCACAAAAATGTTATAAAAAGAGCTTATTTTCTAAATATTAAGTTGTTGTTGTTAAGTGCCGTCGAGTTGGTTCTGACTCATAGCGACTCTGTACAGGGACTAGTATGTTATCTATATATAAAGATTAAGGAGCCCTGGTAGCACTTTAGGATAATCACTGGACTGATAACAACAAGGTTGGCAGTTCAATCCTGTTCCTTGGGAGAAAGAGGCAGCTTTCTGCTCCCATAAATATTTACAGCATTGGAAACCCTATACAGGGATGCTGGGAGCCCAAATTGACTTCATGTCAGTGGGATTTTATTTTGTTTTTTGTTTTTGTTTTTTTAAATTACAAAGTCAGCGGTTCAAACCTACCAGCTGCTCTTCGGAAACCCTATACAGGGTCACCAAGGGTTGGAACAGACTCGACAACACTTAACAATAACAATGTATATGTATGTATATATACACATATAAATATTTTCAAGGTTTGCTTGGTATGTTTGACATCAAATTTTTATTTAATTACATTCATAAACAGAAGTCCTGGTCTGTTTGAAACACAAGGTTAGCGGTTCAAACTCACCAGTCGCTCCTGGGAAACCCTATACAGGTTCGCTCTGAGTCAGAACTGACTCGATGACACTTAACAGGGACAACAGATAATAGAAATATTAGTATCTCAGAACGTTTCACTTGCTTTCCTTGAATTTTCTGATTTTGTTCTCAAATGGCACCCGTTGTTGTTGAGAGGTGCTATCAAGCTTATTTTCACTGATATTGACCCCAAATGACAGAGTACAACAGCCCCATCAGGTTTCCTGGGTCTTTTCTCATAGTGACCCCATACAGGGTTTCTGAGGAGCGGCTGGTGAGTTTTGAACTGCCGACCTTGAGGCTCAAACCAACTTTGTGGTCCAGTGCTTATCCTACAGCGTCATATCAGTTTAGGTGGGTTCAAATTGCCCACCTTTCCTGTTAGCAGACGAAGGCGTAACTAGTGCATTACCAGGGGTCCTTGGATATGCATTACTCTCTGTATCTATTTTGGTTTTGGTAATACAAACCAGTCAATCCAACCTTAAAAGGTGGAAAATGACTCTTGATGATAATTGCAAAATAAATGCTGGTAAAAATTCTAAATCTCTGTTTCAGACCTGTTTTCCAGAGCCTTCTAGTTCTTGCTGCTGATTCCACCTGCCTCTGTTTCAAATCCATCTAAGGGTGTTCCTATGGACTTGCCCCAGGTCAGCACGGCAGCCACTCTTACCAGGTACCCTCTCCAGAAGGACTGAATGATGAGAACTGCTTCCTCTTCCGTCAGCAGGAGGGACAACGGGATGGGCGGCCGGGGACTGAAAGACATTAAAGGTCAGATGCTCGTGAGAACCCTTGGCCCATGTTTTTGACAACATCCCAGCCTCTCTGATTAAGTGTCTCATCCATTGCCATTCTTAGAAAGTAACAATGTCATTGTTTTTTTTTTTTTTTAACAATGTCATTCTTGATAGAAAAGTTTCCATGCTTGAGTTAGCAATTTTTATTTTAAAATCTAAGATGAACTTTTTTTTTAATGTAGCATAATTTTAAGTCACTGGCTACCCTGCTCTTCCTTGGGCAGACCCAGGTTGCTAAATGTTTATTAGTCCAGACACTGCAACCTACATGTTATTGATATAAGACAATGTGATATAATTTAGGAGGTGCGGGAAAGTGATCAGATATTACATTACAGTTGAGGCAACAATAAAGGTCCCTTCTTCTCATTTTCTATAGAGGGAAAATTAAGTAGTTCATCTCTTTCCTGAAAGCAAGCACGTGGAATTTATCTCTGATAACATGGTTCAGATTCATGCATGTATCATCAGTTCCGCCACTACATCTTAAAAAGCAATAAAATAGATCAAACATTAGGTCCGTTTATGGAGTCCTGGTGTGGCGCTGTAGGATAAGTGAGGTTGTTGGTTCAAACCTACCAGGCGCTCCTCAGAACCGACTCCATGGCACATAGCACGTCAGTTTATAATGTCTGTGCTTGTGAGATTTTTCTGTTTGTGATGGTATTTTTGGTCCTACATACCACATTTAAAACTCATGATTAATTTTTTCCCCTCAAGTTTTATAGAGGCACTGACACCTAGTGTGGCACTGTAGGATCAGCACTGGACTGCAAACCATGAGTTCAGTGGTTCAAACCCACCAACTGCTCCTTGGAAACCCTACACAGGGTCGCTATGAGTCGGAACCGTCTAGGTGGCACTTCACAACTGCTGACAAGATCTTGCAATTCTGACTTAAATCTGTGTTTTTTTCCCCCCAGAGCACAGCTACCTCTGAAAAGCAAAGGACAAAACTTTTCAGATACAAAACAAAAGTCTAAACCTCTGAATCTGACCTGCCCCCAAGATGGGCTCCCCAAAAAATGCATTTGCAAGTGAGGGTTTTCATAGGGTTCTGGCCTTAAATTCCATCCTGACCACTGTGTGGCACAATCCTTAAGTGCTAGATTACTACCTGAAAGGTTGGAGATTCAAACCCACCCAGAGGTGCCTTGGAAGACAGACCTGGTGACCTGCTTCCAAGAAGTTCATTCAATCCCAAAACCACACGGTGCACAGTTCTGCTCTGCACACATGGGGTCACATGAGTCAACATCGACTTCATGGCAAACTAGGAGTCCTGGTGTGGCACCATAGGGTAAGCACTCGACTTCAAGGTCGGTTTGAACCACATGGTCAGTGGTTCAAACTCACCAGTCACTTCTTGGAAAGCCTATACAGGGTCACTATGAGTTAGAACCGACTTGACAACACTTAACAACAACAGTGAGAGAGTGGCTAACTTGCCAAGGTCTCTGGGCTGCAGGTGGCCTCATCAGGATCCAACCCGAAGCCCAGGCCCGGGTCTCAGTAACACGCTGGCACGCCTCACCTCACCCAGCAGGACAAACACTGGCAGATGCCCCACCCGCCACAGTCTGCAGGACACTCCAGAACCTGGGCTTTTGTTTCCCTCTCAACTTTGACTAAAAACAAAAACCAACAAAATCTGGATGCAGTATATTTGCCTAAATAAATGAAAGCTCTTTTGAATTATGTCCGCATCAAAGAAATCAAAGCCAGGAGCAGTCTGGGGGTTATCGAGATCATTTCCAGCGAAGGAATACTGCCGCCAGCCTCTGGCTCTCGCCTGCAGGTCTGAGGGGAGGAGTCTTCCCTTCTCTGAAGAGATAATTACACCCTCCTGGCGGCACCATTGTCAGCAACCTTTCCCTAATATGCGGTTTCCATTTTTATTTGCATAATGGGGCGGCTCTTTGTTTTTTTTTATTCTGTTTTTGTTTTCTCCTCTTCTTGCCTGAAGTCCATTCTCTTGTCTGTAAGGAACACTCACTTTTGGCTGTTGGGGTAGATGGACTCCCAGCTTCCACATTCAACATCTCCTCTGGGGTCCTTAATCTCTGAATAGTGTGACACCAATTGATTATACACCCCATACATAATTTCCCTTCACTAGTTAAAAACCAGCGATTTCTAGAGAGCCTTTGGTGTTTCTAAGCAGACCATGGAGTACTGGGAATGAAGTTTTCAGAACAATGCTTTGGCATCGACCCAGCTGATATTTACAGAGATTCCTGACTCTCCACCCACCAGTCTTATAGCCGCACTGGCCCCCTCCCACCACAGGGCCTTTGCACAGGCACGTACCTCTCCTCCAGTGACCCCTACACCCCACCCAGGCCACCAAGCAGAGCTGTGCAGGCTGTTTTCTACTCAAGGGTACCCAGCGCAGACTCAACTCACTATGCAACATTTCCTAATTTAGTCAAAAAGGCACTACAAGGGCTGGTGACCACTTGACACTTTTTGCCTGGTCCATTCCCTCTTCTTCCTACCTCCACTCTCCACTCAAATGTTACTTACTGGTGAGATCAGGCCCAGTGGAGCTCTGTCACTTTCCTTCTGGTGTGGCACTGTAGGATAAGCACTGGACTGCTAACTACAAGGTCAGTGGTTCTAAGTCACCAGTCGCTCCTTGGAAACCCTATGCAAAGTCTCTGAGTCAGAACTGACTCGATGATACTTAACTACAACAAGGTGAGAATGGGTAATCTGTGAGGTTATCTAAGTCATGCCTAAGCCCTGAACTGGGCTGAACGTGCCAGAAGGACAGGGTCTGAGTGTGGACCTCTCCACGTGGTGTCTGGCCCCCAGCAGGCACCCAGGAGATACCTGTGGAAGGAGCAGCTGCTTCTGTACGTAGTAGAGTGTCAGCACTTTCTAAACATTGTTTCCTTCCATCCTTACAACATAAGTGAGCTACTACAATCCTTTGATGGGGATAATGTCCTTGGGCGCTTTGTGCTGAGAACGGCCACTGCCTGGGAAACACAGGGAGGGACTTGGAGATGAGAAGAGGGTCAGTTCCCATAACCACCAATGTGGAAGTCAAGATCCTAGCAGCCATGAGTGTTAAGTAAAAGAAAATAGTCTTGCCTAGGAGAAGAAAATAATAAAAACCAGAAGGAAAAAGCTACAATCATAGAAAATGCCCTCTTCATGAAACCTCACAGTAATAGCCTGGCAGATACTGATCTGTCTGACCCTCCCCAGGGAAATCATGTCGGGACAATCCAACAAAGTGGAGTTTGTCACTTGTATCTGAGATTTGATGGACTCTTTCTCTATAGTTACTCAGTTTTTCTGCTTTCAGTATATTTTTCTCTGTGGATGTCACGAAACCCACAAAGCAACAGGACTCCTATTTCAGAACTGCAACAGGAGAGGAGAGTCTTCAGCCAGGATGGGAGCCAATGGGTGGGGCTGGCCCAAACTGGACCACTTTGTATCTCAGTGACATCTCCCAAAAAGCAAAATGAGACTTCGAATAGACCTTTAAGTTGTAATATGAGGCCACTTTTAGTGCCATCCTGCTTTCACGGCTAAATAATGAGGCGCTGTCTAGTTCTCAAAGCAAAACCAAGAATCTGAGGAAGCCAGTGTAAAGCAGACCAAATGAAAAGGACTGAATCCTCGGGTTGTGGTCCCTGGGAATTGTCAATCATTTCAGCAAGGCAAGCTTTAAGGGCTGAAGCCAAGCCAGCCCCATCCCTGTCTTCCAGAATCAGTGCAGCTGGCTTCGGGTCAAATAAAAATAGACAGTGAGCAGAGGCGGCTGTTCATCTTGAGAGGGGGTGAGGGAGGCGGGGGAAGCACACGTCAATCACAATGGGAGGCAGCTGAGCCCCCTGAGGAGTCACATGGGACGTCCCGGAGCAAGAATCCTGCACAAACGGCACAGCAGCACTGCCGTTGTTGGTAATGTCACTTGTCATGTCTTCTTTGTTCTCAGATGTGAATTACATGTGTTTGAACCAGAAGACTCCATGCTGTATTTGCTCCAAGGAATAAGAATTTCTTTTTCTGATTGTGTGTGAAACATATGTACAATTCTTTCCTCTTTGGGGATGCAAAGTAAAGAAAATTGCAGTACGTAAAGATATGTGATAGCTTGTTGCTAAGTGCCGTGGAGTCAGTTCTGACCCATAATGACCGAGTAGGGTTTCTGAGGAGCAGCTGGTGAGTTTCAACTGCCGACCTTGTGGTACAAACTGATCTTGTGGTCCATCGCATTATCCTGTAGCGCCACATCAGGACTCCAGATATGCAGAATGGTGGTGGGTGGTGGTGGGTGGTGGTGGTGGCCGTGGGTGGTGGTGGTGGTGGTCCAGGTGGGGGGGGGGGGTGGCGGCTGTGGCTGTGGAGTCAATTCTGACTCATAGCGACCTGGCATAGGGGTTCCCAGGTTGTAAATATTTACAGAGTAGAAAGCCTCATCTTTTTCCCATTGAACCAGGGGTAGTTTCTAATTGTTGACCTTGAGGTTAGCAACCTGACTCAATATGTAATATAATACTCAAAAAATATGTGCTAAGAGGTCTGAACAGCTAGTCTACCAATTTCTCTAAGCAGCTTTAGGATGAAGTGCCATCTAACATACACCTTAGAATCATCAACCATTTCAGATCTAAAGGGCAGCATTTACCCAAAGACAAAGTTCAGCAAGGTCAGGAAAGAAGGAGGACTGGCAACAGGAAACCCAGGGAGGAAGTGGGAGGAGTGATGTTACATGGAGAGGACTGCAATCAATGACATAAATTGATGAATGGAAAACTGGCTTGCTCTATAAATCCTCACCCAATTCACACACACACACACACACACAAAGTTAACTAAAAAAAAACACAGAGATACTATCTAAAATTGCATTTAAGCAGGATAAAGTAGGAAATTATATTGATTATATTGATTATATTGAAAATTTAATCTAAAATTCTATTCACTTTTCATTGTTG